ATGTATCAAACATCATATGTATGTCCCATGTCAGATGTATGCTTGGCACCACCTACAAACAGTCACATGTAATATCCCTGTACAAGCTTGAAGTCGTGTAGTCTTGAAGCTGCTGATATGTGCACATATGTGAAAGATATGGAATTGTAGGAAAGGAATGTCTCTGAAATATCATGACAATAATTGAAAAGGTTTTGGCATTACCAAAAAACATGATGGAATGCAAAGTCAGTGAACATGAAGTTATGACAATCTCAAGACACATTGACAGACATGGCAGAGCCGCTCCTCTGCATTAAAGACTTGAAATGACACATCCAGGAAGACAAAACAAAATCTCAAAACGCGTAAGTGTTTGGTCGTTAATAATTGAGTCAAGCAGCAAGTGTAATCCAAAAGTTATAAGGAAATAGAAAAGGTTAATTTCCAAACAAAACAAACATGCAAAATAACTGTTTCAATAAAAAAAACAAGAAACTCTTCTGACCAAAAAAGCAATTTGTTAACTTTCAATAATCACATAAAATCAGTACTTTAAAATATTTTACAAATCATAATGAATCTTCAGAGAAAATATGACAGGTCAAGACGATTATCCAACATGACTTGCCCTATGGTCACAACTGGATACTTATTTCAGACATCAACATATTACACAATTTCAGTCACCAAGTGAGACCATCACTACACCAGGCAACAACATAGCCATATCATGTGACAATCTTACAGAAACAGACTTTCAAAAATATTCTAAAACATGTCGCAGGGCTCCAGATAATTTTTCAACATCAGGAGTATGTACTCCTTCTTGTTTCAATATAGGAGTACTGGAGAAACTTAAGAGTACATTTAGAGTACTGAATGGAATTTAATGGCGGATCAGTAATCTTGTGTTTTGTTTCATATATGCACCACAGCATTGCTACTCTTGTGTAAACAGGTCAATAAACAATAAAACAATACTTTTTCAGATAAATACGTCTGTAAATAACTCTAAGACCGTACAGCACTGCTGTGGTGGTATGTGCTACGTTTTCTCAATTATTTCCTACCGTATGGTGCATATTTTCTATCCGTACATACGCCGATACGGCCCTTATCTGGAGCCCTGATGTCGACATTTACAATGTTAAAAAATTTCAATGATTACGACACTGGGTTGAATATTTTGACATGTGGAAATCAAGAAAATATATCATGGTGGGTTTCTATATATATTTAATACTTGAAATTTAATAAATCAGAAACACGTTTCTTCTTGTTGATTGTCAAAGTGATTCGACAGGCTGTTTGGAGATGTTCGCATGAAATAAGATGTGACTTGGGGGGTGATAGAGACACACTTTCACATGTTTCCAGCAACAAGACACAAAAGTAAACAAAAAGTGAACTACCAGCGAGTCTGGTAATTGCAGCGAGTACATGCAAATGTCCAAGGTAAATTATAAGATAAAACATAACAAAAATAGTAATTTTAGAATATAACAGAATTTGATTAAATATCAAAACTTAAACAAGAGTGAGTGAGTGAGTGAGTGAGTATGGTTTTACGCCACTTTTAGCAATATTCCAGCAACATCACGGCGGGGGACACCAGAAATGGGCTTCACAAATTGTACCCATGCGGGGAATCGAACCCGGGTCTTCGGCGTGACGAGCGAACGCTTTAACCACTAGGCTACCCCACCGCCCCACTTAAACAAGAAATCTCTTTAACACATCATCTGAACATGCTGAATATAGAGTGAGTGAGTGAGTTTAGTTTTACGCCGCTTTTAGCAATATTCCAGCAATATCACGGCTGGGGACACCAGAAATGGGTTTTACACATTTTACCTGAATATAGCCTTGAAGTAACATTAAACAAAACAGATAAGATTGTCATAAAAGATAATAGAATACAGCTGTATCACATGCAATGAACATACTGAAAAAGTAAATACATACATGGAGGCATACTGACAGCATAAATAATATACAGGCTAAAACGTAGCACTATAGACTGACGCAACAAGGGAGACAACTTGGTTATATACACAAGTCCACACGGACAGGCAATGGCACTAAATACGCTGAATTTCGAACAATTAGTTTGGCACTTCTTTCTCAAGATGTCTTTTCTCCAAAGGCCCTAAGCCCTATCCTGACTTAAAATCTGGGGTCTTCAGTGTGTGAATGGGTGAGCGAGCCACCTTGCAAATGAGCAAGAATAGTGTGATGTGCTTATAGCAATACTCCAGGCAATTTCTAGCATCACCACAGTAAGGTAAACAAAGAATACACCCACAAAAGGAATTAAACCAATACACCCAAGACGTCCTTTGGCTGAGTCACCTGTTTAATTCGCCAAGAATTCAGATCTGACAGAATTTTCGTCTTTTTTTTGTGTAAAATGCCACGTTTAACAAAAGGGCAAAATCACAGGGAAACTTTTAGAATTTAACTTCTAATAATTCTTAACTTTGAACTGGTGTTTGCTGGACTGCTTTTCTTTGAACCACCAGATCAAATTAATAGATGTTAGTAATTCTTTAATATCATAAAGTGAACACATAATAATTGAAGGGCATGATATAGTCATTCTAAAAAATCAAATCAAATCAAATCCTGACAATTTAACCTTGAGACAATTCTGGTTTTCATGAACATTTAAAAGATTACTTCTTTGAAAACAAGTGTTAGATTGGAATGGCGTAATACTGTAAGTTTTACAAAATTCATTTAAATGAAATTTTGATTTTGATCTTAATAGACTTGTGTCCGATCCCTTGGCACAAACATTAAAAATACTAATTGTTCAAAAAATATACATGCTCTGGATCTTGATTGATTTTATCACAGCTGATATGTCTTCAGTGTTTGAATGGAATGTTGTGACAAAGAAACATATGCCATGAGCAACCACTTGGTGATTGGATATAGGGCGCTATACAAATGGACTTATTATTATTATTATTATATAAGCTTGGATTTATTCATCGCCTGTATTTTCTCCATCCCATGTGAAAACATGCAGCCTTTTGTGATGCAGCTGCCATTTTCTACCAACAATTGCAGCCATGATCTGATTCCAGCAAGTGCTGCCTCGATCATATGAACCAATGGTTTGGTTCACACAGAGTTCATGGACAGAATGGGCCTAATTTGACTTTCTGGAATTACTCAAGACCTCAATATATACTCTGACAATGCCTGAATACATTGTACCTAAATACAGTAATGAGCCACTCATACGAGTCACGGTTGTTTGTTTTCACCTGTGATGGATGAAAATAGTGTGAATTTCAAAAGGTACTGACAGTGGCTTTCATTAAGGATTGCATTATCTGACACTGGCAACATTTAACAGAACTGCATCCCTGAGCAGTGATTAGGAATGTACATGTAATAAATAAAGTATTAAAAATATGGTATTCATACAAATTATTGGAGATCTCAGAACCATCATTGACAAATGCTTCTAAAATTTGCTAAATGTCTAACTTTTAACCAACGCTGATGAGTGAGTGAATTAAGTTAAAGCATATTAACATCACTTCATGTCAGCTTATTTCAGGAGACAGCCAGCATTAGTGTAGGTTACAGGTGTTTACCCAGAAGGTGAAGCCAAGCTTATGGTAGATATGGTGCATATAAACATACAAACATAATCTGGACGAAGCGGGATTCAAACCTGTTGTGAACCAAGGGACACAACTCTGCACAGCAAATTCAGAGATGCCAACCCTGAATAAAATGAAAGCGGAGTCGTGCCTTGCTAAAAGCAATTCCCGAGCCCCGAAGGTGAGAGTTGGGTGTGAGCGTGAGATGGGGCTTGGGCCCCTTTTGACAGTGGAGGTCTGGGGGGCCTCCCCTATGAAAATCTTTAGATTTAGCCAGGAAATATGCAATGTCTGGGCATACTTAACCAGATAATAAATGGCTACTTACTATAATTCTTTCAAACATTCTAAATTTATAAACATATTTGTATTTTCTAAAAAATCAGAGTTTTTTTAAAGACAAATCGGAGAGTGGATTCATATTTGAAATTCGGAGTGGTTGGCATCTCTGCAAATTGTGGCACCTAAACCTATGGTCCACCTAAACCTATGGGCCACCTGTGCCCACAGCTGATATAAAGAGACAGAGCCCAAATTCCTGTTTGATTACAACGGCTGCTAATTCTGACCTGCACCACTAAACTTCAAAGTTTGCACTTTCACATGTTTTTCCTTTTCTATCAATGTGACTGAAGATCAATTATTGTCTCAACAATTCCGGTTGTTTGATGGACCCATTACAGGGTAATGTTGTTAGTTCAGAAACCCTGTCAACAGGACCAGTCCTATGTTGCAACAACACTTTAGAATAAAGGGGACATTCTCCCAAGGAGATCCAGAATAAATTTGGTCCTCATCAATCCAAGAATGACTAACAGGATTGGCTGGTCTCCAATAGAGATCCAGATTACAACTGGCAATCAGGGCATGCTTCTTGCAAGAACAACTCCCAGCACTGGGTGGTCAGGCACAATAATATCAATGTTATTGCATTCCAGAAGTGGGTAGATTGATGCTCATGATATTAATCACTGGATGTTCTGCTCCAGACCATCTCATGTACAGACCACCATGAAATACAGAGTTGTGCAAAAAGTATTCGGACACTTGAAGTAATTTCCACAGACTTACATGTTAATTTAGTGTAGCATAAATAATTTTCATGAATGTAATTTTCGTAAAATACATGTCAAATTTTGCACATTTGTGAGGAATCATTTTACCGACAATCACATTATTTCTGTTTAACAAACTTATTTATTGAATGGTAACAATTTAATCAACATATGTACAGTGCCGAGAACTCCTTTAACATGGCGGCCTATGGGACTGTGCATTGTGGAACCATACGTAAGTTGATAAATGTGATGCCATTAGTTAAATAGTGGTCGGATAATTGAACTTAAATTATGTGCGCAGAGCAGAGATGATTTCAAATTTGCCTGTCAAATTTGACAAAGATCCATCCTAAACTCACTGCATGAAAAGTATTTATGCTACACTGAAATAACATGTAAGTCTATGGAAATTACGTCAAGTGTCCGAAAATATTTTTTGCATGGGTCTGTACATCCTAGGAACAGGTGGTAACGCTGTAAACAATTTCTTTTGGCAAATTTACGTGTATTTATATGCATCACATACTCATATAATGTACTCCTTATTATTAATCAAAGCACCAGCTTGATGTACAGTGTATAATGTGATTGAATATACTAAGCCAGAAAAGGATCACATGTAAATTCGTCTTCACTCTAACTGGCTCAACCATCTGACTCTTTCTCGAATATGCAAACTGTATTGGCTCTCATGCTCTTTGAGTTCAAGAACATTTATAATACATGTTAGCAAAGTATTTCTGATTTGATAAAAAGATTCAAATGTAAACTATCGACATAAACTATGTGTAGTATTTTAATAAATATCCACTCATGATAATGTGGCTGGCACAAAATTTTGGATATTTGCAACATTATAGATAAAGACCTCTTCACAAAAAATATTAAAAGATGTTGCCTCTTTGCCTATACACTAGCTAAGGTGAAACCTGTTCAAGTGAGCTAAATAACCATAGCATGAGAAACAGCAAGTGCAGTTTTATATATGCATTCTGTAACTGGATAATAAATATTCTGAATACAACAAGCAGCTATGGTTACGTTTTATGATAAGAAAATAAAATAAAATCAATGTAAGCTTTGTAGAAAACAATAAAAAAACAGATATTAAAATGAGAAAACTTGAACTAAACACTTTTTGTAGGTTTGGATTTGCTGGTGACTATCTTCACAAATACAAGTACGCATTGAGTGTTTGGTTTTCATGACACAAGAGATACTAAGAGTCGTTGCCCATATTAGGAAGTCTTTTCACAGAGTCTATCACATTTCTTTCAAGTAGTTGGCTGGCACCAGTCCCTCTCTGCCTTCGATTTCACCACGCCACCAGTGGTCGTCCACCTTCTCCAAAATATTAAGAATATCCCCTTTTTTGAAACTGAGCTCGTCGGCATCGCTCGGTGCGAAGTTGAATGCAGCACGACACTTGCACTGGAAATGTAAAACATATTTTTAAGGTCTTACAAAAATAAATCATCTTCGGGTGAGTGTTTTACGCTGGTTTTAGCAATATTCCAGCAATATTACGTTTTCATTTTCGCTCGACTCATTGGGGGAATCCCTGTACCTATAAATAGCACTAACATCTCCGCACTGAATAAGCTGATTAATTATTTATTGGTTAATATACATTCTAACATTTCATTGGCATGGTGTCATGCCGGGAAGACTAAAATTTATTTTTGAGATTTCCCGGGAAGGCTAAAATGTATAGTTCCGATTTCCCGGGAGAGCTAATTTCCAAGGGAGTTATGCATTGACTTGATCTAGTACCCTACACACGATACCTACACAAAGATGAGCTGTCAGGGTATGGGGGATGGAATCCCTTGACGTGTTGATTAAGCAATACAGCATGCTGAATGGTCAAGGTGAGGATAATCATGACCAATTGATGCACAGAGCACCAAACAGGATTTCCCACACTTTAAGCAAGTCATAGCTGACTTGACATGTGTCCCCTTTGATACTGTTCGTGAACGTATCTGCGTCGACTATCTTGACATATTTTTCCAGATTGGCCTCACAATTCCAATCAGTAATGTCATTCCTGCTAAACGGGGATTCAGTTTCCAAAACAGAATACACACAGTAAGTCGTAATTGACTTTCCGAGAAGAGTGAGTGAGTGAGTGAGTGAGTGAGTGAGCAAGTTTAGTTTTACGCCGCACTCAGCAGTATTCCAGCCATATGGACAATCCAGGGATCAACAGCATGAACATCGATCTGAGCAATTGGGAACGGATGACATGTGTCAACCAAGTCAGTGAGCCTGACCACCCCCGTTAGTCGCCTCTTACGACAAGTATGGGTTACTGAAGATCAATATTCTAACCCAGATCTTCACGGGTACATCACCAACAGGCCACCATGGATCATTTGTACTCACCACAACCCCTCCTTGTCCTGATGTCATGTCACACAGCAGGATCTTTGCTTGGGTATCAAGTCTTGAAACAGACTTGGTTCGATGGTGTGCAATAAGCTGATTTATCGAATCGAACTTCATGTTCCACAGATGGTATTTTCCTGAAGCCTGGTCCTGTAGGATCTTAAAATGCTGAACACCACCTCCATATCTGAAAGGGATTACACAAAAATACTTCAAGAAAGAGACACCTGGAGAATCAAACTTAGCTGCACTGCTTGACAAGCCGACAGGTTAACATTAGTGGTGGTCCGATTAATTGAAATAATCGAAGATTGGTCGCAATGACAAAACGACCAAGCAATCGATCATGTTTTCACATAATCGAACACAAACAATTTTGGACCCCTTGTTTGCAATAACAATATTTTTCAAAAGGTTGATTTTGTCTCTACATTGCATAAGCACTACAAGCTCGTTCCAAGTCATGATTAAATTTATCTTAACAACTCCAGGAAATGTATGTTCCTAACACACTAGTCGGAAATGCTAGAAAAATCCTTTAAAGATGTGAAATAATTTATTTTTTGTGCATTAACAAACATAACCAGGACAATTTGATAAATGACGCTAACCAATTATTTTCAATGATTGATCGGTTGTAATGAACCAATCATCAATTATGAGATTTACACCAATTCCCACCACTAGTTAACACCAAGGTGAACCCATTGCCAAAGATATCATTATGGAAGACCAGGATTGATGAGGGGTTGCACTTCTCAATATAATCCACAACAGGATCAATGCTTCAGCTATAAAGGGGTACAACTCTGCACATTAAAGTGACAGTTTAAACCCACATGTCTCTTATCACCTCTGAACCCCTCTGCTTATTGTTTGTTTGTTTGCTTGATGTTTAACACATCAACAATACAGCTATAGGATGCCAACTACACTTGTCTGATCCTGACAATCCAGTGACCGACATCATGAGCATCAGTCTTCGCAAATTGGGATATCACACCATGCATCATACCACCTGTATAACACGTTCTAAATGAAAACCGCCTCCGTGGTGTAGTGGTTAGAGCGTCCGCCCGGAGAGCGGAAGATCGTGGGTTCGATCCCTGACCGCAAAAGACGTTAAAATATGGTACTTGTTGGTCCCTGCCTGGCGCTCGGCATTAATGGGTACAACAAGGACTGGTTGGCTCGGAGTCAGTATAATGTGTCTGAGTGGGGTATTCATGCTTCACTGCGGCATGGTATCTCAGTGGGCTAGCACTATAAAACCAGCTTAAGTCTGGGCTAGTACAAGCAGCCACACATACACACATGCATGAACGTCGTCATATGAGCGAAATATTCTCAAGCACGACGTTAAACCCAATTTCACCTCAGCTCACCTAAATGAAACTTACTTGACAGAAAGTGAGTGTCCATTGTCATCTGATTCACTTTTGCGGACAAGAAAGGCTCCATCTGGTTGGAAGCCACCACCTATCAGCATGTCCTCTGCAGCTGAACGCATAATCTTACCCTTGTACCATCTGAAATAACAGTTCACAAAGTCAACACAGTTTAGTGGATACTAAAGTGAGTTTAGTTTTACAATGCTTTTAGCAATATTCCAGCAATATCACGGCGGGGGACACCAGAAATGGGCTTCACACATTGTAGTTTTGTACCCATGTGGGGAATCGAACCTGGGTCTTCAGCGTGACAAGCGAATGCTTTAACCACGAGGCTACCCCAACGCCCCTAAAGGATATGAACCATATACACTTAATTCTACAAGGGGATGTGGGTTAGCCTAATGGTTAAAGTGTTTGCTTTTCAAACCAAACACCCAAGTTCGATATCCCACATGGGTACAATGTGTGATGCCCATTTCTGGTGCCCCCTATATTGCTGGAATATTCCTAAAATCGGCATAAAACCATACTCACTCACACACCATCTCAATACTTCAGTTATTTGGTGATTATATGAAATGGTTTTGTACTCACGGTGGCTGATCGAAGTGTATATAGTTTGAAGGAATGTAGCCTTGCTGCCCTTCTAACTCAGCCTTGTACCACTGAGAGTCCTCTGTGTTGAGAATCTGAAACACATGTGATGTACAACAATGCTAAGCAGTCTATATAAATAGGGCATCTTCCCTCGGCATGGAAGTAGTGACTATAAAATCCATTTACCACCCTTGCCAAAGCTAGGTAAGAATGAAGGGGTTATAATTTGGCTGGACTAATGAGACTATGCATAGTCAAAATCCCATTCTGAAATCAACATCCTATTTCTGGACTACCTGACCACTGCCTGCAAATTTCGATGATTTGCTGGATTTGCAGGAGATTTCCCTTATCTTTTCATGTTTATAATCGATGTGCTGAAGTGATCCAATACACTCATCCAGGTTAGACCTGCTTAACTGCAACAGAGACCTTCACTATCGATAAGAGAGTCTTGAATAGGGGACTGTTATTTTATTTCAAGCAAATACAATGATGTGCGAGGTGGACTTAGATTGGTCAATGAGACGTGAAATAAAACAAAACTCATTATGGCTGTGATTGATCCACTAAATTTCACCCTAGTTTGGCAAGGAACTCGACTTTTACAGCTACTTAAGTCCCTTGCCTCTGGAAGATGAAATAAGGCTTTCGACACTAAGGTGAGGTGAGGTGAAATTGGGTTTAACGTCGTGCTTGAAAATATTTCGCTCATATGACGACGTGCATGCGTGTGTATGTGTATGTGTGGCTGCTTGTACTAGCCTAGACTTAAGCTGGTTTTATAGTGCTAGCCCACTGAGATACCATGCCGCAGTGAAGCATGAATATCCCACTCAGACACAGTATACTGACTCCGAGCCGACCAGTCCTTGTTGTACCCATTAATGCCGAAGCCAGGCAGTCGACACTAAGAGGGAAAATCATTTGGTTGCATTTGAAATAGGGCTGGGATAGTTACTCGCATATCCAGGTTGGGTAAATAATTTTCACTAAATCAGAATAAACTACCCAGATCCATTTCATTGCCTGACTGGTCATGTGTAACTGATACATTACATAAATTCATAGAAATGAAATTATAAACCAAACTTACTGGTAATATTTGTTCTTCAATCACATAAATGAGGTTCTTGAGAGGCATTTGGAAGTTGGTGTTCAAGTACAGGCCCATTATCTGTACATCTCACTCTTTCATCTGTTTCTTATCCAATTTATTGTACACACATGCAACACTGGCTTCCTGTACATTTAGTATATATACTCGTTGGTGTATCTTGCTTGTTACAATTCACCTGACGAAGGGGCAAGGAATAGCCCAGAAACGTTGTGACATACAATAACGAAGAAGTTGTCATCCATAATATTTGCGCTTTACTTTTACACAAAAATGAGCATGACAAAATCACTCATTCTAAATAAGTAGAGTGTAACATATCAATCCTTGTAATTTCCAATTCATAAGGAAGATATATGATCATCACTACAAAAAAAAAGTCATAATATGCTCACAAAAGAAATCTGAGGGTCATTTTTGTTTAAAGCTTTCTATAAAATATTCAACATAGATACAACATGAACAAGCTTAAATCATGCTTATTGCCATCGGTAATTAAATTATCCAGAAACTAGTCTCTGACATGTTTATATTTGAGTATAGAGTCCAAAAGCATCCCAAGAATGATCTTTGGCCATCTATGTCATTGTACATGCTCCCAAGAAGAACAGTTGAAGTAAGGATTGATTTTGAAATGATCCTTTTTACTCAACTCAACCCTTACCCATAACCATGGCAACGTTCGGGATGTTGACTGTTCATGATGTTCCTGTGATTTTGATACAAGACTGACTGACTGAGTTTGGTTTTACGTCGCTTTTACCAATATTCCAACATCACGGCAGGGGATACTAGAAATGGGCTTCACACATTGTGCCCATGTGGGGATTCGAACCCGGGTCTTCGGTGTGACGAGCTGTGTAGGCTACCCCACCGCCCCTTTGATACAAGAAGCTGAATAAAGGTCAAAGACAGTCAATGGCAAAAGTCAGTAAGATTAAAAAAGGAAACCCGTCACAATAGTATGTCCTATATGAGGATACGATGTTGTGATGGTTTTCCTTTTTGTTGCAATGACACAGATTACACCCCTGCACTTTCAACACTGTTTAGGGACCGTTCATAATTTATGGCTGTTTGGGGGTGAGGGGGAAGGAGAGGAGAGAATTGATTTTGAGGGGGGTCACCCATTTTGTTCTGGGGAGATGGGAGGGTGTCATCTATTTTGAACACATGTACTGAGGGGTGGTCAGCAATTCTGTACATAATATATTTTCAAATTATACTTAAAAATTATAGGAGGGGGGGGGGTCATTGATTTTGTACATGACATGCAGGGGGGTTCACTTACTTTGTACATAACTTTTAGGGGGGTTATTCACATTGCACATGCTTCTCCATAAAAATCATCCATAAAATAAAATTGGTCTGGCCTTGATGTGATGCAATACATACTTTGTTGTAACCTGAAAGGCGTAGAATGTTCTTCTGACAACACACGGTGCTGGGTAAAGGTTGGTTACACAAAGGGCTTTGACAGGAGTATTTACACCAGATAAGAGAGAGCTGATGACAGACATTGAATGAGCTTGCTCACTGCCTGTAAGTGCTACCTAATAGCATGAACAGATTCAAGGAAAACCATTATTTCACTCCTCCCTAGACAAACAACTAGTCTCTGAAATGAACATATTTTACAGAAAAAAAGCTCATAGTGAAAAAACTAAAATATAATGAAAAGGAGCCCTGAGACTTTCTTCATTTTCAGAAGCTGTGGAAATCTAGACTTGCCACATTTTCTAGACTTGTGTGGGCTTTCTTGAATATATTTGCTTCAGAGTCAGTATGACAGACTAACTCCTCCCTTACCCAAAACAAAACAGAATATAGTGGAACTCTATATGTAATTAGGACAAAAGTAAGTAAATACAGGGCTCGATTTAGTGCTTTGTTCCTTGCACTGGTGCTAACCAATATTACAAAGTTACAAAGTGCAACCTAGTTATTAGTCTAACTTGCTCCAGGTGCAAGTAAATTTTTGAGGGGGTAAACTTCTAAATAAAACATCTAAATAATTCAATAGCATATTTCCTTAATTACATATTGCAATAAAAGCAATGGAATTTGGCTGGTGCAACTGTTTATCTTAGGTTGCACTTGGTGCAAGTAGGTTAACATCTCTTAAATCGAGCCCTGAAATACAAATCAAGGCCCAGTTCCACAATGATATCTTACACCATAGCCCTAGGATGGTCTCAATCGTAGGTCTAACAGGGTTTTACGTAGTGCTGTTACGATGCACCGAGCTATTGATAGACTGCAATTGTTGAGTCTCCGATAGCAATTTATCAATGGTAGAAATGAGAAACTATTGATGTATCAATATTATATGTGACTATCAATAGTTTAGTAATTGACTTCTGTTGATAAATGCGCAGCGCAAATTACAGGAAGTACCAGATTTGTTCACTTTGATTATCCGCCCCTCTTACCTCTTGAACAAACATGGCGGTGAACACGGCATACCAGTCAGAGTTTGAAATTGTGAATAACAATAAGTTATGTTTCAACTGTTTACTTGATCTGGGTTTCAAGTTACTTGTCAGTTATTAAAACAGACTGAAAAAGTGAAACTACTTTAAATTGTTTTTCTTTCATATTGACTATACATTCATTTGGGAAATGACTTCAAATGAGACAATTCAAGGAGAAAAAGACTATTGCAATAGTCCAGTATGCACTAATGAAGAGAATGGATGCAGAAGAAAAATTCGAGTCGTGAGGGATGCACAATATTATTCTTTGTACTGACAACGCATCATTTTTTCATCCACCAGTCCATATGATCAAAGATTCATTCCAGGCTCTAAAGAAATTATCAAAACGTACAGTTCTCTACACCATTACTTCACACTGGACCCTAACACTGGCTGCAAGAACCCCTAACACTAATAACTGGGGTTCCCCGGGACCCCCATCCCGGGGACCCCCATATTTGTGAGTCGAGGTAAAACCCTGGTCTGCTTCCCTGGTTGAAGATGCACTCAGGGCTTGTATCAATTTCGGTCCCTGTGATAAAGGCTGTCGGTAATACCAGGGAGACTATATAACGGTGAGTGGTCACTCCTCGAAAAGCCCCTTAGCGTATGCCTCAGTTTGTCACGAGACCATTGTAGCCAATATGGCGGCAGCTTAGTTTTCAAGATTGAGCCCGGTTTATTTTCAACAGCTGATTACATTTGCTGAGTGTTGTGACAACTGAAAACCTACATGTAGAAGATAAGTTACCTATTCTGTCACTTCATTTTAAGTCAAATAATTGTTATTAGTGTCAGTATTAGTACAGTAGATTTGTAGTAAAGTTTCAAGTCGGCATGTTGTAGCTCACTGGCTTCAGTTCTCAGTACACAGCATATGAAAAAAGAAAGACTAAATTCTATCGCTTAGTTATTTTTCTAAAAACTTCTTTCACATACACCTTTAATTTTTTACCATCAGATGAAAGGTGTTTGCAAGTAATAGTGATAGTTTTATAATTTAAAAAAATTTGTTAGGGTGTACTTGAGGTGTGTGAAAAATATGACATATCGCCGATCTGATCGATATCTGAATTAACTACTAATGTAAAAAATGTCTCAAAGTAGATTTTTAAAAACAGGACAGATGATGTTAACAGATGTGTTCTAGTGATAGTTTTGCATTCTTTAACATGTTTGGCGAGGGATGGCCGTGGTGGATCATTTATTCTTTCATTCATTCACTTATGTATTTCTTTCTTTTATTCGTTTTCTTTATTTCTTTCATACACATATCATTCTTTCTCTTAATTCATTCATTCATTGTAAAATTTTGACTGATACAATAAACTGGCTGAAGTACTGTTAAACGCAGCCGAAGTTGTGCTGGGAACGAACCAAGTAACTGTGTGCGTTGGAGCATGACGAGGCACACGCTAATTAGTACAAATGGTAAAGAAAGCAAGTGAGTGACCTATCCCTGTTGTAGAGTATCCCTGGTACAAGTGGTAAAGAAAGC